GCTGTAGGGTCTGTACAGCAATGGCAGATAGTAATTCATGGTATTAGTGGGGAAAAAGAGATGTTTTAATGAAAATACCTCTCAAATATTTGTGTAGCCGTAGACCATCTTTAATTCTGAAACCTCTCCTGTCTCCAGTTTTGGGGGTCATAACCCACCTATCCTTTCAGGCTGCATTCCATTTAGGTTTAGTTTGTAGTCACTAAAAGATGCTACAGTTCTCTTTTTCTGCCCTGTAGATTTTCAGATTTGAACACAAGCCCAGTTCTGCTTCTGACGGTTGTCTGCAATAAAGCATAAAAAAGCAGAGTGAGCCCTGTTCTACATTTTATGGTCTCTGCGCTTGGCAGAATATCCTCCCAGAATAGCCTCACCATTTTACACTGTTGCTTGCTGTCCTCAGATGCCATGCTTTTTCTGCTAGACAATGCTTGGAGCCACACCCCAGAGGCTGACAGCCCCTTAGAGGGGGTTCTGGCAACAAGAGACCAAGACGTTGGCTCTGGACAGCTGCCCGCCCCAGCAGCTTTGCAGAGCCTGCTGGTCAGCCTCCTGGGTCCGACCCTGCTTGGGTTCATTGTTTCTGATCCTGTGTCCAGGTACGTGCGCCCAGCCATTCCCTCTCTGTTTCTGCCTCACAGTCTAAGGGCCTCATAGTCTGGGGTCCTCACAGGCTGGGGTCTTCCACTCCCCCAGCTCAGGTAGATTCTGCCTGGTGTGTAAATCCAGCTTCATGACCCGCAGCCCTTGCAGCTTATCTGCACTCCCTGGCCAGGTCAAGAGCTGCAGTTGTCAGAGCCAACCTTCTGAGATGTGAAAATTAGCTTCTACTTTAAACCAAAGCTTTTGGAAAGAAAAACTTTATCTTGAGCTCTGATCTGGTATTTAAAACATCTTCAAATGATTGTGTTCATAGTCGGTGATTGGCCATTCCTACCTTCTGCTTTAATCAATTTTGTTTTTCTTTACTATTGTTTGTTCCTTCTGATTCCTCTGTCTTTTAAACAATTAATCTTGAACAACCGATAAGGAAATTCCTGATTCCTTTATTTTTTCACTTTTGAATTTCTTCTTGTTTACTAAACGGATGAAATTTTTACTTTTTTGGAGAAGATGACAAAGGGCCCAGAGGTCCCAGCCATTTAGGAGCTGCAGAAGTGGAAGTGCCTGGGGGTGGGGGGATATTTGGGGGCAGAAGGCCTTGAGGGGAGCTGGGAACGAAGGGGACACATACAAGTATGTAGACCAGGTGTGCAACTAGATATCACTGGTGCAGCCTCACACGTCTTAACTAGGTTGGCCTGGGTGATATATCACAAGAGTCACTTGCAATAACAGTAATGGCTAGTATTTTTCGAGAACTTCCTATGCACCAGGCACTTTGCATGCATTCTTCATTTAATTCTCACAATGGACACTTTGTAGTAGCTGCTTTTGTTATCTCCATTTTCAGATCAGGAAACTGAAGTATAGAGAGTTTAAATAGCATGGCCGACACCACACACCTGTGAGTGGCCAGGCCTGACTCTAGCCTCCAGGCATCAGTGCCTGACCCACTTGGCTCTCCCTCCTGGAGCCATTAGCCTTGTCTTCTTTTTTTTTTTGTTTTGGTGCAGAAGATTGACGCTGAGCTAACATCTGTTGCCAGTCTTCCTGTTTTTGCTTGAGGAAGATGGTCCCTGAGGTAACATCTGTGCCAGTCTTCCTCTACTTTGTATATGGGATGCCACCACGGCATGGCTTGATGAGAAGTGTGTAGGTCTGAGCCCGGGATCTGAACCTGCAAATCCCAGGCCGCTGACACAGAGCATGTGAACTTGACTACTATGCCACCGGGCCGGTCCCAGCCTTGTCTTCCTGCCTGTCCTCCCACACCCCAGGCCTGCCTTACACCTCTCTACCCCCTCTAGTGTCCTGCCTCCACATCCCTGATTTTTCCCCCTAAAACATTGACATTTTATGATATCTACTTTTTTACCCTCTGTCCAGTGGGTTGCCCCACAATTCATAATCACATTTTGAGGAGCGGTACACTTCCCAAAGTTCATGAGCAGATTTTACGGTGCCTCCTTGTAGTACTTGCTGTCCAAAACTATATTCTGGATCCTACAAAGACACAGCACACATAAACACACACTACCCTCCCCCCGAATAAGCATAACCCCCCCACATAAACTCACACAAACATGTGTATAAAGCCCCCAGAAACACATAAACACCCACACAAACATACACAACCCCACATACAGAAACACACACAGACATATTCATACCTCCCATATAAATGCACATAAACACATACAATCACGCGTATAATTCCCCCCAAAACACGTAAACGCACAAATACACACATACATGTAAACCCACACACTTGAGCCTCCTTGCTGCCTCCATGTTGGCAGACCTTGTCCTCCCTGCCTCTCTCTGGAGGCCTGTGCAACCGGGAGGCTGGAAGGAAGTGAAACCTGCACTGACAGGAAGTGAAACAGGATGGTGAGCTTTTCTCGTGCTTCTGACCCAGCTGTTGGGGGGACTAACCAAACAGTCTGCAGTTTCTGGAGCTTCTCTGAGGTACCTGGGATCCCTGGAGTGGGGGTCTGGGTGGAGATTGGGCTGTGAGGTTCCGTAGGTTGCTGGGGAGTTGGGCTCTGGGTCTTTGTTTACCTGGTGGCAGCCTTCCCCATCCCCACCTTAGGCGGTGGGTGAGCGGTGGGGAGGAAGAGCATAGGTTTTCTCCACAACAGACTTTTGAAATGGTTGTAGGCCCTGGGTCATTGACTCAGAGTCCCAGATGCACATGGTCTGTTCCTTTGTTGTCTGGAAGCAAACGATTTTTATACGGTTTTCATGCACCTTCTTTTAAAAGTGAAAGAACATTTCACGAAGAGAGAGAAGATGAAGTAAATATAGCAATACATGTTGACAGGGATTATTTTTCCTTATGCTTGACCAGGCTGGCTCTGACAAGTACTATCAGATAAACTTTTGTCTGGAGGTCCAGGAAAAGTCCCAGATGCTGGGCCACATGAATACTCTTGGGGTTGTTGGAGAGGACAGAATTGGAGATTTTGGAACTTGGTGGCCTCTGTTATGTGTTGCTAGGGAAAGAGGGGCAAGGGGCTAGGGGAGGATGCAGCATGGGGTAGCTGGGATGGTGATGTGGATGTCACTGTCCTCTTGCCCCAGAGGTTTCAGCTGCAGCCAAACATGTAATCTGAGGAGGATTTGAGGACTTAATGGAGTCTAAGGGGTTCTTCAAAAATCCATCTCTCTGACACGGGGTGCATGGCCCTACCAGAACTGTGACACTAGAGTAAATAGTCATCGAGTTCTTCCTGAACATGCCCTCTTGGAGTCTGATACACCATAGAATAATTGAACACTAGCCCTGGAAAGAATCTTGGATATAATGTATTTCAATGATTACCAAACTTTCCATTTTTGTCATATCCCTGAACCTCTATCTACTCAATATTTTTCTTTAAATAACTTGCTTTTAAATGTTTTTATTCAACCTAAACAGTGATATCTTGTGTCACTGATGATACACGTATCACACTTTGAGGATCACAGCTCTAGTCCAATTCACCCTTTTTACAGGTGAGGAAACTGAGACCCACAGACATTAGGTGATTTGCCCACGGTCTCACAAGGAGATACTGATTCAGGACTTTTCCTGAGGTCTCCTTAATTTACAGTCTTGATTCTCTCCAGTATAATGTATCAGACTTTCAAGTGTGCAAGAGTAATTCTTAAATGTGATTCAAATTGATTACCCAGGGGAAGTGCCACACAGGGCACTGGGCAGGAGGAGACTTAGTGGGTGCACATTTCTTTCCTTCCTCCCTCAAACCCCTGCTCACGGCCAACCTGACTAGCTGCTCTCTGGAAGCTTTTGGCATCTTTTTAATGCTAATATTGTGAAATATCAAGGTGATGTATCTTGGTGTCACTGTTGAGTACAGTCATGCACCACATAACGACTCTTGGTCAACAACAGAACACGTCTATGATGGGGTCCCTCGAGATTAGTACTATCGAGCCTGAGTATATAGCAGGCGATATCATCTAGGTTTGTGTACGTACACTCTGTGAAGTTTGCACAACGAAATGGCCTAATGACGCATTTCTCAGAATGTATCCCCGTCGTTAAGTGACGCATGACTGCAGCTGATTATTCTGTTCTAGGTCTGCAACAAGTCTCCATCCGGAGATGCGGGGCTCAGTTCTGCAACAATTTCTTGTATTATTTATTTCCTTTTTGCTCCCATCCATTTTTTCTCTTTCCTTTAAAATATCTGTTATTTGGGTGTTGGATTTCCTGAACCAATAATCATCTCATTTTCTTCTCTCCTATTTTGTCCTACTTTCTAAAAAATTTTCTTCAATTCCATCTTTTAATATTGCTAGTAAATTTTTAAAATTTCAGCTTTCATATTTTTAATTTCTAAAAGCTCTTTCTCATTCTATTTGTTTTTATAACCTCCTGTTTCTGTTTTATGGACACAATATCTTTTCTTATTTCTGTAAGGATATTAATTATAATTCTTTTGAATTTTTCTTTTATTTCCTGCATTCTCTTTGTTTACCTTTAGCTCCTTCTCTCTGTGTGTTATTTTTTAGTTTTTTATTATGTGGGAGGTTTTCTTCCTATGCCTTGTTCTCCTTTGCTCTCTGGTTATATTTAAAAGTGAAACCCTACAAATCTGATTGCAGTGTCTTCCTCTGTATGTGAGCAGGGCTTGCTGACCCCGGAGCTCCGCTATCCGGAGACCTCGTGGGGACCTTTTCTTTGGGAAACCTCTCCTTGTCTGTCCCTGGAGGTTTTCTCCGGGGTCTCAGAGAAGAATACTTCAATGTGCTGCCGTCTGGTAACTTGAGAACAGGGTGAGAGAAGGAAAATCAGAGTTCCATGCTTCAATTTGTAGATTTTCACTGACCTGTGCCCCTTTTTAGCCTTACTGCGTCTCCATCTGAGCATTTCCTCTTCCAGACATCCCAATGTCGGCAGGTGGCCCACCAGGGCGGCCAGCCCTGCTCTCCCTGCTGTTGGCGGCGGCGATGGCTTTTTTCTGCTCAGCCATATCCAAAGATGAAGCACGAAACCGGCTGTTGATGAGAGAGAAGATGACACGGGTGGGGGGGCGACTGGTGCTGGGCAAACAGGAGGAGCTGGCCAACGCGAGGCTCATGGCCCTCAAGAAGGCTGAGATGGCGCAGGCCATGAAGACCCAGAAGTTCCCACCCAGCATGCATTTTTTTCAGGCCAAGAATCTCATCGAGAAAAGTGAGGTGTTTAGTATCCTGAAGAGGATGCCAAAAGGTAGAGGTTTGGAGAGGACGGTTTTGGGATCCTGGGAAGGTGGGGGAAACTAAACTTGGAGCTGTTATTGTTCTAAATGGAGCAGAGAGAACTCCACTCAGCTACTCTGAGCCTTTGTTCTTGCTGGCAAACTAGGAAGTGGGTATTCCAAGGTGGCTGCTTGTTCTCCCTGGAAACCAAAATCCCTGCTTCTGAGGGGACTCAGCCTCAGAGAGACAGTAGAGAGGGGACCCTGGGTATTACTGGTCCTCCTTGACAAACCTGGAACAGTGTCCACACAAAAGATAGTATCCAGGGCCCACAGAACCTTACTACTCCCTTCTGATCTTTCCTTGAACCTCTTTCTTCTACCCTCTTTCCAGGGGCTCAGTTACCAAATAGGAGACAGTGTGAAACAGCATTATAGCTTTCTGGATGAACGCATTTCTAGTGGTATATTTCTATAGTAAAAATACATTGCTATGAGTAGGAAAATAATTATAATCCTGGACACATAAACAGCAGTTTGCAACTTACAAGGACTTTTCTCTACCTCTTTTATTTTAATGTTATAAGTAGAGATTAAAGAAATAAGAACTGTGAGGTTGATAAGGTACCATCCCCAGTTGATGGGGTTTGGAGAGGTGAGGTTTAGAGAGGGTGGCACCCCAGAGCTCACACGGCTGGGACACCTGCTACGGGGCCAGTGTCAAGGCAGGAGCTAAGACGGAGCAAGAAGAGCAGAGGGATGGCGTCCTCTGTGTCATGAGGGGCACTGCAGGCAAAACCCGCGTCAGTCCTGAAGCACAGACACGGGGCCGCGGCCAGCAGCCGCCTGGGTGCCGGCCTGATGCAGGGCAGGGAAAGCCAACGGGTGGGGTGTTGGGGAGCCAGATGAGAGGATCAAGGACAACTGTGCAAACAGGACTGGGAGGAGGGGGACAGGGGCTAAGGCTCATTCTTATTACTTCCCTTCACGGAGTGTTGGGTGGCGGGGCTGCATTTAAAGGCCTGGGCTCTCAACTGAGAACTAGAACCTGATGGAGCCCCAACTTGAACCCCAATCTTCTGATTCCAAGCCTGATGCTGCCCCTCTTGAATGAGAACACCCCTTGGCTTTGGACTAGTGAGGGGGGAAGCCAAAGAAGACCTATTCCTAAACCAGAGCAAAGAAGGCAGTGGCCATCCTGGGGAGACAAAGGCAGACCCAGGCCTGGGAGGTCTTTGAGCTCGAGTGCAAAAGGTACAGTACGTTCAGTGCTGGGGGACTCAGCCAGATAGAAGTTCTTGTGCTTCCCACTTCTGGTTCCTCTACACTGTCTCACAGAGCCCTGGCATTTGCAATTCTTTGCCTCACCACTCCCTCCACCCTTCTCCTTCCCTTTCCAGGGGCTGCCTTACACGTCCATGACTTCAGCATCCTGAGTGTGGACTGGCTGGTGAAAAATGTCACCTACAGGCCCCACTGCCATTTCTGTTTCACTCCAAAGGGGACCCTGCAGTTCAAATTTGCTCACCCAACTCCCCCGACCCCCACGCCAGCAGAATGTTCAGAGTGGATTCTGCTGGAGAAGTATCGAAGGGGGCTGCAGAACATCACTGAGTTTGACAACAGGTGAGCGTAGTTCAGAAAGAACGTGTCATGTGCCTGTCAGAGGTGGTGGGTAGTGTGCAGGTGTGTCTTCCTTGGTACAAACACATATATAAAAATCTGACATAAGAAAAAATCAGAAGGCGTTTTCTTTTTAACTTTACAGGATACTTTGCTTCACAAAGGCATTCAACACCTTTTCTGTCCATAGTAAGTGCCTAGTACATTTAAAATCTGATTTGATCTGCAAAAGGTGTTAACAGCAACACTGTTGTTGCATCAAATGAGATTTGTCTAGATGCTCAATAAGACCAGAAAGAAGGAAGTTCCCAGCTTCCGGAGCAAAGACAGTCCAGCTTGTGGATGAAACAGCTTGAAAACATGATGGAGCTACTTCCTCACAAACTTGTATAGTAATATTATAAGTAACAATTATTTTAATCATGGAACCATCTACAGAGTGCTTTCATGAGGTTGTTTCCCTTTATGAATAAGAAACATGAAACTTAACATGGTTAAGGATGTTGCCCAAGGAATGGCTCATCGGGGCTGTAAACCTGGGTCGCAGAGTGCCAAGTCCATCATTATTTCCATCCTTCCCCCTTTATTAGTTTACTGGGATGCCCAGACAGAATACCACAGGCTGAGTGGCTTAAACAATAGAAATTTAGTTTCTCACTGGTCTGGAAACTAGGAGTCCAAGATCAAAGTGCTGGCAGGTTTGGCTTCTCCTGAGGCCTCTCTCTCTGGCTTGCAGACGACCGCCTTCTTGCTGCGTCCTCACATGGCCTTTCCTCTGTGAGTGTACTCCTGGCATCTCTGACACCAGTCCTGTTTGAGTAGCGCCCACCCTTATGATCTCATTTTAACTTAATTACCCCCTTAAAGGCCCTGTCTCCAAATATGGTCACACTGGGGGGTTAGGGGTTCAACATATGAATTTTGGGGGGACACAGTTCAGTGCATAACACCTCCCAAAGACAGCTTGGTCTAGGATGTGAGTATAATGGGGTCAGATGGGCTAAGCATGCGGGGGGACAGGAGAGCCTGGTTGGTGAGAATGTTCTGCCTGAGCTGTGTCCTGGGGAATACAAAGCAGGTCTCAGGGTAGAGGCCTCCAGCAGAGATCCCTGGATGCTTCCCTTGGCCTCTCATCACTGCTCACCATGGTGCATCCTGGTTTCCTCCGGGTGGGGGAAGCGAGGCGGGCAGGAATCCTACAGATGTCTGGAGGCAACGGCCTGAAGCATGCCTCCTCAACTCACCCCCTTTGTGTCTTGGACAGTCTGCTGAAGAATTTCACTCTGATGACCGAGAACCCCGAGGTGACATATGCAAACCAAAATATCGTCTGGTCCAAGTTTGGAACCATCTTCTTCATGATCTCTGGCCTCGTCCACTATGCACCGGTGTTCAGAGACTACATCTTCCAGGGCCTCGAGGAGTTCTACCAGGACAACGTCTTCTACCTGGAGCTCAGAGCCTTGCTGCTCCCGGTGAGCCCTCTCTCCTGTCCTCTGCTCTGGCTTGACTTTCAGATCTCACTCTGTAGGTCTTCACAGGCTCTCTGCCCTAGTACTGGTACAGGACTGAATGCTGGCTTCATCTCCAAGGGGACATGTGCCTTTCCAGGGGCCACCGTGAGCAAGGATCCCTGAAAGGGACTGGGCTGGCCCCAGGAAAACAGTGACCATAACCCTCACTGCCCTTGTGCCTCCTTCTCTCAGACGCCCACTTCTCACCTTCTCCCAGATATGCAGTGCCTCCAGGTGTTCGGGGTTCCCTGGCCTTGGACTCTCAGCTGTGCCTCATGCCTGGACCTTTCTTGACCTGGCTCCTTTCATATCAAAATTTAGTTTCCCTGAGTCCCTCAGGATGATGATCTTGGTACAGGGACAGCTGATGAATCTGGAAATGGATCTAGTTGCATGTGACAGTGAGGATTGGTCAGTTCCTGGGGGCCCTTTCCATGGAGCACTGCTGCATTTTAACTGGGGTCTTCTGTGGGCAGTGCTGCCATGACAGAGGAGCAAGTGGAAAGCCTTGCTCCCTCCCAGGTTTCCTGCACGCCTATGACAGTGTCTCTTAGCAGAGCTCAGGATATGGCTGTCATGGGCTGGCAGTGCCGGCTGAGGTGTCTGTGAGGAAGGGAAGGGCCTGGTGAGCCCCACTTCCTTTCTTCCCAGGCGGGGGCCCCTCCCTCTCTGCCATCTTCTCCCCTTGGCCCAGGCCCTGATGGCCCCCTGCACAATGCTTTCCCCTCCACCTCCCTCCCCTCGGGGTACTGCAGACTTTCCTTGTTTCCTGTTTGTTCCGCTACAGAAGCTTCCTCCCTCATTTCCCTTCAAATCATTCTATACCCAAGCTTTTCTTTAATCTCCCTGAAATACGATTTGTGTGTGTGTGATTCCCAAGTGTCAGGGGAGTGAAGCTCAACTCTTTGGCATGAAATGAGAGCCTCTCCTATCTGAAGTGTATTCAGCACCCTGACCTTATTACTCAATCTCTCTTTCTCTTTCTTTTTTCCCCACCCCTCTCCCTTCCTTCCTCCCTCTCTCTTTTCTTTTTCTTCTCTTTCTTCTTTCATTTATTCATCAAACATCTGCAAGCTCCTACTCTGTGTCAGGCACTGTGCTAGGTGCTGGGTGTGCAAAGGCATAGAAGACAGAACCCATGCCCTTACAAAGGTCAAGTTTCTCCCTGGAAGACTTGTGGGTAAACAAATAAATGGAACAGATACTCTTGTAGATGTTGAAGAACAATTTATAGGGTGTAGAGAGAAGACACAGAAGGAAATGGTTAGTGTTACCTGATGGGTAGGGGGAAAAGATGGAATATGTGTAATAGAAGACGGAGAAAGCTCTAGCGAGTCCTGGAAGATGAGGATGAGATCACTGAGTTGAAGGGCAAAGTGGGAGAAGGCATTTCCATCCGTGGGAGCAGCATAAACAAAGGTATAGATTCTACAGAGGCTTTTGTATGGATCATTTTTGGGACTAAATCAAGGAACTCATCATGACTAGATCCTAAGATTTTAGGGTACTCATTGAAAATAAGACCAGGGATATAGACAGGGCTGATTGTGAATAGCTTTGGCCACCATATTAAAAGTTGTATTCTGGAGGTGAAGGAGCCACTGGATAGTTTCAAGCAAGGGAGTGTGAACACATTTGCAATTTAGGAAGATTACTCTGGCAGCACTGAGGAGAGTAGATTAGAGGGTCAGGGTCTCCTCTGATGAAAAAGGAGGGACTGGAGGCTGGGAGGCCAGGAAAGAGTCTCTTTCCTGGCCTCCCAGCCAGGCTCAAGATGGGAGGGCTGGAATGAAGACAGAAGCAATGAGGAGTTGATGAATGCACGCAGTGTGCAGGAGGAAGAACCTGCAAGTCTTGGTGAGTGACTACATGGGGGTCAGGATTCTGCTATGACTTGCTGGCATTTGGCTTGAGTTGATTGGTAGACAGTGGTGACATTTACAGAGATAGGGAATGTAAGAGGAGGAGCAGGATGGGGAGGGAGAAATGATCATTTTGGTTTTGGACTGGTAGAGTTGGAGGTGCCTATGAGACATCCACGTGAAAATGTCCAGGAAGTGGCTGAATACATGAGTTTGGAGTGTTAACCTAAAAATAAAGAGCCAAAATGAGAGGCAGTGAGGCATTTACTGTGGGATCAAAGAATTGCAATTCTGGGAGCACAGATTCAGGTAGAAACCCAAATAGTGTCCCAATTACAGGAGAGGGGCTTAGGGTTTTTATGGGAAAAATGGAGGACGAAATGAGTTGCATTAAAGAAGAGTTCACTGGTGCTAGATGAGGTCAGGCTAGGTTGGTACTTCATCGATTGGCCTGAGGTTCGATCATCAGGCAAAAGGCTAGACTTGCACTTCATTGACTGGTTAGCAATTCAGTCATCAGCAAAGTCCAATTTCATCAGTCCTTACAAACAGGACATTCTTGTCCTTACTGACTCCTTGGAATGTTGGCGGTTTGGTCCAGTTTGGGACATAAAGAAGACCAGACGTGCAAGGCAATTCCGCTGAAACAGCTGCTCCGGCTCTATTTTAACATCGCTCCACTCTTGTCATCTTTTGCAGGAGCCTAGAGGACAGTTCTAGCCTGGAAACATATGTTTGACATTTATCTACAGAAAGGTGATCCTTAAAACTCTGAGAGAGGATGCAGTTCCCATGGAAGCTGTAGGAGGAGAGGATGGGGAGGGAGGGGAGCCCTGCACACAGGAATAGGATGAAAAGTTCACAAAGTGGACTGAGAAGGAGCGGTCGTGGGGGCAGGAGGAGAACTAGGACAAGCCATCCCAGAGGCCAAGGAGAACGGGCTTTCAAGAGAGGGAGCCACAAGGCAGGGTGAGGTCAAGAAAAATGCGGATTGGAAAGAGCCTCTTGGATTTGGAAATTAGGAGGTCACCTTTGAGCAATTTCGATGGCATTTCGAGGGCTGAGGAGAGAAGCCCAATTTCCAGGAGGAGAAAAATGAAATGTAGGTGAATAATTGGAGCCAGGTTTGGAGCCTGTGATGTGAGCGAAAGAAAGAGGGAGGCAGGTAGGGAGGGAACACAGGGCCCGCGGGGGATGTTTTCAGGGTGGGACTCACTTTGTACACAGAAGGAAGGAGCCTGGAGGGGTTAAAAATAGAGGGGAGAAAGGGAGTACGAGAGGGCGTGCTGTACCCTTGGGACAGAGGAAGAGGCCACTCCAGCACCCAGGGTGAGGCTGTCCTTGAACCGGAGAACGTTCTCTAAGGCTGGAGGAAAGGCCGCCGAGGGGCAGATGGAGACGCTGGCGGGCCGGGTGCCGAGCGGAGGGAGGAGGCATTTCTCCCACAGGCAGGGCAGGGCGTCCACCGGCGAGGGCGGGGGGGGGGGAGGGGGGGCGTTGAGAGAACCGCCGGGGGTGGACCGGTTGCTGATCCGAGGGCCAGCCCAGGATGGAGACGGGATCCGTGGCCGTCCCTGCTGGACCCCCGCCCACAGCCACAGCAAATGGTATGATGGAGCCCAGGTCAGCGGGGCAAACCAAGTGGAAGAGCCGGGGTGAGGACTGAGGGCAGCGCCAGGCGGGGGGCTCACAGCTGGAAGGCGCAGCAGCCGGCAGCGAGAGAGCAGGGCAGATGGCCGGAGACAGGCGAGGTCAGGGCACGGGACCTGCGGCGGCTGCTGAGGGTGCAGCCGCCTGGAGAGACAGGAGGCCGAAGAAACCGGCCAATTTGAGCTTAATTTATCTGAGCGCAGCTGCGTGGGTGACAGGCGCCAAGGCCAGGCCACCGAGGCGCGAGTGTCATCCTTGGGGTCCAGCACGCCCGGGAAGACTAGGATGAAACGCTCAGGACGACGGCGGAGTGGGTGCAGGACCGTCCCCTCCTGAAGTCAGCTGAGAGGACGCGGATCTCGGAGCGCTCCAGGAGGAGGTGGAAGAGGGCTTGTCTGATTTCAGGACGGCAGGCTGAAGAGAGTGAAATGGAAAGGAGTAGGAGGAGTCCAAGAGAAGGGGGCGTGGGTCCGCCCGTGGCTTAGCAGTTAAGTGCGCGCGCTCCCCTGCTGGCGGCCTGGGTTCAGATCCCGGGCGCACACCGACGCACCGCTTCTCCAGCCATGCTGAGGCCGCGTCCCACATACAGCAACTAGAAGGATGTGCAGCTGCGACATACAGCTATCTACTGGGGCTTTGGGGAAAAAAAGGAGGAGGATTGGCAATAGATGTTAACTCAGGGCCGGTCTTCCTCAGTAAAAAGAGGAGGATTGGCATAGATGTTAGCTCAGGGCTGATCTTCCTCAAAAAAGAAAAAAGAGAGAAGGGGGTGCTATCCAAAAATGTCAGATGTTAGAGCCGATCTTCCTCAGCAAAAAGAGGAGGATTAGCATGTATGTTAGCTCAGGGTTGATCTTCCTCACGAAAAACAATAATAATAATAAAAATGTCAGAAATTTTCACTGACTTGAGGGTCTTGCATGGGGCCCGAAGCAAAGGATGACGGGATGTTGATTGCCGCCAGACGGAAGGTGTCAGATTTACAGACGCCGTCAAGCTCAGGCTTCCACGCTGGGGGGTGGGGCGTCTGTCAAGGAGAGCAGCCGTGGGTGCTCAGATGATACTAGATGATTCTTTTGGCCAGTCTACTGAAGGGAACTTTCCTGAGGACTCTTTTGGGGAGAAGGGGTGGGGTATTGTGGGAGAGCTGGATTTCTGAATGTTCTGTTCCCTGGGTTCACAAAAGGTTGATCTGGTTAAAGGTTTTAAGTGGCCTTTGGGTAGAGTTCTCCTCTACATTGTATCCAAACTAGTCTGCTCAGTCATTCAAATATTTATTGAGTATACTACTGCCTTGGTGCCTGGCCTCCAAGTTTGTGAAAGGGCCCACAGGGTGGCATTCTTTTGGCTGTTGCCATATTCCATGGTCTTTATAGGCTCAGAAATTTTGTACATCCAGAAGTGATATGGCTTCAGAGGACTGACACTCATTGGCCAAACTCATAAAAG